TATCCCTGGCCTTGGCAGGCTGAGTAAACAGGCTAAAGGGAGTCTGCTGGGCAGTTGGCCTGCATTGTTCCCATTCCCCTCTGCATGACTAAGGGAAAGCTATGCTCAGAAGTTCCCAAGATCCAGGGAGAAATGGTTTCTACCTGCAACACAAAGGATTTCGATAATACCTACGGCAGGCTCTCTTTTAAAGATTTATTTATCCTTAATTACGTATTTCTTTAGAAAGATTGCTTAGTTGATGCCACCATCCAGCCCCAGCCTGAGCCAACCTCTGATCATGGACATGTGTGTACCAGGTACACTCAAGGAGATTTCTAGATGCAAACCCAGAACCTTCCATATGGGTCAGACACTCAGAGTGCTGCATTTGACTGCTGTGCCACCTTCCAGCCCCCAGGAAGGCATTTTTGAGCAGGGAAAAGATACATCCCAGACCATGAATGCTGAGGGATTTGTAATCAGGCAAGATGATCCAATGGGTGGTAGGGATCATAACATAGACCTTGGCCCCTGGGTGGCCTTTGTTCTCTAATTACCTGCCCTGAACACAAGTTCAGAATTGCTTCTGCTCTGGTGGGAACCCTGGAGTGGCAAGATGTACTTTTCACTCATTTTAATTCCCTATTGATTATTTAAAAGTGGGCCCTTTCTCTATGGCATCACAACTGAGCAAGAATTGACTGTGTAAGAGAAAGCACTTTGTGCTAAGCAGCACTAATAAGGCAGAGTCTCCTGAAATGTGCCCTGGCAGCAAGAAGCCGGCAGACTGCTCCTGCAGCTCCCACAGATCTGCCAGGGACAGAAGAGCAATTGCAAACTTCCCACTTCGGTGTGTTTCTCTTGTCACAGTCCCCTCGATGGTGTGATATTATGATTACAGAGCAACGGTAAAATGTTTGCTTAGCAAACAGCAACATTTTCCTGGTATCGCTAGAGAAGGTGACAAAGAGCCTGAGAATGTGTCAGCTGGAGCTGGTTTGGAAGCATTTCTGAGCTGTCATTTACCCTGTGCCCAGTGTGTGCTGCATTCTTCATATGCCTGGTAAGACGATGAAAGTAATTCTAATAATAGCTGCCTTCTATTGAATGCTTATTGTATGGCAGGCACTGTACCAAGCATGCATAATTTTATTTCATGCTCACAACGTTTTTAGCGCCATTTCATAGGCAAGAAAACTCGAGCACAGAGAAGTGAAGTGACTTGCCAAGATCACACAGCTCATCAGTAGAAAGGTAGACCTAAAGGTTGGTCTGTCTGGCTCCAGAGCCTTACGTCACAGCAGTCGAGATAAAACAAGGGCTGTGCCTGATATACTCCACACACGAGTTATTGCTATCGATTAGTGTTTTAGTGTTTCTCAGCCTTCCTCTGTCCGTTTTCTTTTAACATTCTAGTTGCTCTGTAGATCTCTTATGGACCATGGCTCTTCAGATATTACCATTGTAATATTTGGGTCACAAAGGCATTGTGACATGAGGAGACTTCAAAATGTTTGTGAAAAAATGGAATGAAAATACAAGCTAATTTTGGTGCAAAAAATGTTTCAAATCGGGGCACAGTTTTCCATAATACTATATTTTCATGAGCTTTTTGAAGACCCCTCCCTTTGAAGGATTTTTTTTTTGTACTCTGTTGAGAATACATGCTATAGATAAAACTTAGAGAAAGTTTGCTCTAAGCTCTCTGTAAGTTCTAAGCAGTTGGAATGTATCAATTAATTTATTCAAGAAGCCTCAGTTTCCAAAAGGTGAAGAAAGTGAGCAACAGAGATTAAGCAATTTTCCTGAACTAACACAGCTAGTTAATAAAGGAGGCAAGTTTTGAACTCAGGCATTCTAGCTTCTGAGTAGACCCCCTTAATCACTTCTCTACCACATTTCTGCTGTGAGCTATTTTCAGATATAGAAGAGTACTTCAAAAAGTTAATAGAAAATGGAATTCAAAGTATGAGTTTGTTTTGGTGCAAAAATATTTCACATCTTGTTTTTTCATAATCTGCATTTTCATGAACATTTTGAGGGCCTCTCCTGTAGGATGTTTTGATGATTATAAAAGCCTCTGAAAAAAGTATAAGCATCTTTCTCTTCCTTTGTTATAAGAGGAAACTGAGACTGGGGAAGAGGAAAGGAGAGGCCCTTGGACTCCTGGCCATGAAGAAACAGAACAGAGATCTGAGTGGGAGTCATGGTTACTAGATTCCATGCATACCCTCTGCTGAGCAGATCAGCTTCTTTTGTCATCATCGGGCTGTGCTGTCTCCCTGGCCTTGTGGGAGATGCCACCTTCTGTGTAACAGAGTGATATTCATACCCACAACCCACACTCTGCAGAGAAAGTTTCGTCTCATTAGTCAAATTAAAACTTACTTCTGAACTTGGTATATCTGTGTGATAGACTTCAAGTAAATTATAATTTTATTTATAGCTCCCTATCTTCCAGAAACTTAAGCGACAATATGTTATTTGGCTCATAAAAAAATAAAAATAATGTAAAATAAAATGACACCTCGAGCAGCACTGTAACTAATTAAGGAGACTTCCAAACTGCCGTTAATGTGAAACATTGAATCGTGCACCAACACCAGCCGGCAGCCAGCCCAAGTTCCCAGGGAAGACAGATTCATGCAGCTGCAAGGCTCAGATTTCACATTAAGTCAAACAATTATTTTGACAGGTTGAGTGAGCTCCGCTAAGTGTCATTATAATAAAATCCTTCAATTGTCTTGCCAAGGCGGCTGCAGCCAACAGAGGTGGATGGGCAATTTTAGGGAGTTCTTTGCAAACCTGGCACAGGGCATTACCTATTTATTCCAAAGTTTCAAATGGATAGTCCAGAGCTCTGGGGGAATAGGGAGTGTGGAAGTGGAGGGTCACAACAGCAGAAAGCAAGCCAAGCCAGGTTTGCATTTGTTGGAGCCCATCTGAATTTTTATTTTATTTATTTATTTAGTTATTTATTTGCCTGCCAGATTTGTTCATTTTTTTATTTGAAATAATTTTAGATGTACAAAAAAGTTGCAAAGAGAGTATAAAGAATTAGCGTCCCATATCCTCTTTCCTCAGTTTCCCCTAATTTTGCCACTTTATATAATTATGGTAGATTTTCATGCCCTGCAATCTTCCAGGTGCTGATGATACAAGAAGACTTCAAGAAGTGTGTTTTAAAAAATGGGATTAATGTACAAGTTTCTTTTTATTTATTTTTTTGAGAGGTTTTTGCTAAGGGTGCACGCACTTGCCAGAAAGACAGAGAGAGATAGAGAACTAGAAAGCGAGAAATCACTCCCCAGGGTGAATGGCCACGCTGCAATACCTTCTCCTCCATTCTCCTCTCGGGATCTTGGGCACACATGCACACGCGCCTGGCGTGAGTTTAAGCCACCAGGTCTGGGACTCGAACCACGGTTGGCTACGTGGGAGTTCAGTGACATAGCCATTACACCATCTGCTGGTCCCTGTACAAGTTTCTTTTGGTGCAAAAAAAAAAATATTGAAATCTATGCATAGGTTTTTTTCACAATACACTTTTTCCATGAATTTTTTGAAGACCTCATATGTCTGCAAGAAAAATAGGTGTGATCCTTGTTATCACGGAGCACGCTATTGAGTGGGGAGACATATCAGTGGGAAACTCACATCAGGGGTCAAAGCACTAGCCATGTTGCTGCTACATCTTTAAGACACTGTGAAGTTCTGCACTGGTGACCAGTAGAAATAGCAGCAGACCCTTGCAGCAAATTCAAGTGTGGATCAGTGTGAGAACCATACCATGACTCTGGACTACACAGGAAGGGCAAAAGTAGTGCCAGGGAAGTGATAGGGAGCTGAGGATACATGCATCTGCAGTCCAGTGGACCCATCTTGGGATCCTCACCATTATGTGATTAGGAGTGAGCCACTCGCCTTTGACAGCAGAAAATGGGGATGGCGCCTTTTCCTTTAGATTAAGGTGAAGAGGGAGGATATAATTAAGTTGATGTAAAATGCCCAGCACAGTCCTTTGGGTTAATGAATGGTGGTGCATGCATTTATTCATCTGGACTATTGCAGTAGCATGCTTCCATGCTTTATGCTTGTCCACCTGGATGCTTTCACAGGGCAGCCAGTGCGATCTGTTGAAAACAGGCCATCAAATTATATCCCTCACTCTGTTCAGAACCTTCCACAGCATCCTCCTCTTGCCCAGGCTGTAGAAAACCTTGTAATCTTACTTTCTGTTGTGTCTCCGACTTGTTCCCCTGACACCTGCACACTCTCTTGCTCCTGGCTGTTCTTGGACTGCTCCCGCAATATACCATGCATCCCCAGCCTCCAGATCTTTGCTCTTATTTTTCCCTCTGCCTGGAAGCCTTGATCCCCAAATCTTTGCATAGCTCACTCTCTCTTTGTTCACGTCTAGCCTGCAATGTCACCTGCTGAGAAAGGTCCTTTCTAACCATCTGATAAAAGCACAGAGCCTTGCTTTGTTCTTCCAAGCACGTTTCACAACGTGGCAAGTTATGGATTTGATTTTTTTTCTTCCTCTGCTTTCTACAATGTAAGCTACTCTACCTTGATGCCTGACACAGTGTTTGGCTTATAGGAAGCATTTAAATAATATTTGGAGATTGAAAGAATGTCTGAATCCTTTCTTCCATCCCTGCTTCCTTTCCTCCCTTCCCGCCTTCCTCTCTTCTTCCTTCCCTCTTATCTTCCTCTCAGTTTGCAAAATGGTGGCCCATAAATAAGTTGTAGTTCACCTGAAAACACATGTATGCTTTTTTTTTTTTTGAGAGGTTTTCGCTATAGGGCACGTGTGCTCGCCAGACAGACAGAGAGAGACAGAGAGACAGAAAGCGAGAAATCACCCCCGAGAGGGGATGGCCACACCGCAATCCCTTCTCCTCCATTCTCCTCTCGGGATCTTGGGCACGCACGCACACATGCCCGGCATGAGTTTTAAGCCACCGGGTCCGGGACGCAAACCGTGGTTGACGACGTGGGAGTCCAGCGACATAGCCATTACGCTAACTGCTGGTTCCCCATATATGCTTTTTGATTGAGTTTGCCAATATCTAAAAACTAAGTGAGTTTTTTCAGTTAGCAATAATCACGCCTCGAATAAACCTCATTGGCTACGATACTGCCACTGTGCAAAGCTATAAGTGAGTTTTTCAAATGGGAGTTTCTTATTTTTTATTTTTCATTGTTTATTTTGAAATAATTTTAGACTCATAAGAAGTAGTATAACAAGTGCAAAAAAATTTTTATACTCTGGATCCAGTTTCTCTGTGTGATAACATCTTGCACAACTATAGCGTGTAATAAAAACTAAGAAACTGACATTAGTAATACTTTAAGTAAACTACAGAACTTACCACATTTCACTAGTTTTACATGTACTCATTATTATTTTTTAAATTTTAAAGTTTACTTATGTATTTCTTGCATGAATGAGAGAGTGAGAGACAACATCCCCAACAAGGTCTTGATGCCATGATTCACCTCTGACCTTGGACAGTTCTAGCTCATGGACAGAAGACAGGTGTTTCCATAGTACCCAGGGAGATCTCTGGATGTGAGCCTGAAATCTTCCCCTATAGTCAGCCTTGTGAAGCATAATAGATTCATTCATTTTTTTTTTTTCCTTTTCTATAAAGCACTTGTGCTCACAGAAAAGATGGGGGACGGGGAGTGAGAAAGCACCTCCAGGGGGAAAGGCCATGCTGCAATCTCTTCTGTTTTCCTCTTTGGATTTTGGGCATGCATGCATACATGCTCAGTGTCTTTTTAAAAATTGTGTGTGTATTTAAATTTCATAAAGTGGGACTCATACAATATGTACCACTTGGTAACTTGCTTTGTGTCCATAGTACATCTTGAACATCTTTTCTTATTAGTAAAGAAATAAATTAGTAAAGAAAGACCTATGCCTTTAGTTTTCCAAAGGTGGACATTTGATGGGATTTCGTTTGAGTAATGGCATATAGTGGTGGTGGGGAGATCACGTAAAAAGCCCAGACTTCCACTTAGCTCCCACTCAATGATATGAAGCACCTATCCCCTCATCACCAAGATAGTATATCTTAGGAGATTGAACGGAGGATCTGAACTCTAATCACTGCTCAAGAGTAATGAGGTCACCCTTTTTAGTATCATTGGAGGCCACATAGGGAGCAGAAATGGAGAAAGTTCACCTCTTCTCCCAGCCAGGGTGGTGTCAGCAGATACCTAGCAGGGGTCCTGAACTCTCAGTCTTGCCCAGCAGGAACATTGAAAATGGACACCAAATGAAAACCTAGAATTCTGACCCCCATTTGCTACCTGAACAATATCAGCACAGGACTGCTAAAATAGATTTAAATAAGATCCAGAGTCTTAACATAGTATCTGAAATGGCCAGTATCAATCAAATATCACTCATTATACTAAGAACTAGGAATATCTCAACTTAAATAAAAAAAGACAATCAAGAGAATTCAACACCAAGATGACAGATATTTTAGAATTCTCTGACAAGTATTTTAAAGCAGCTGTCATAAAAATGCTTCGGTGAGGAATTATGAACATAGTTGAAATAAATGAAAATATAGGAAGTCTAAGGGAAGAAATAAAAATTCTCAGCAAAGAAATATAAGGTATAAAGAAGAACAAAATGGAAATTTTAGAACCAAAAAATTACAAATGCTGAAATAAAAACTCAACTATGGGCCCAACAGTAGAATGAAGAAGGTAAAGGAAAGAATCAGTGAACTTAAAGTAGTAGAAATTTATCCAGTCTCAACTATGGAGAGAAAATAAATGAAAACCAAAGTGAACAGAGCCTCAGGGACATATAGTCTATAACAAAAGATATAACATTTGAGTCACCAGAGTCCCAGTGGACAGGAAGAAGAATGGGGATATAAAGTGATTCAAAGAAATGATGGCTGAAAATCTCCAAATTTGGCAAAAGACATAAACCTACAGATTTTATAAACTGAGGAAGTTTAAAACAAGGAAAATCCAAAGAAATCTAGCAGGCAAACAGGTAGCCTCACCACTTGGAAGACTGGAGACCACACAAGAGGCACAGGTATGGCTCCCTGTACCTGAAAACAATGGGCATGGCATGTGGTGGTGTTGGGGAGACCATATGAAAATCCTGGCTGTGTATGCTTGTTATCCAGCTGATTTGGAGGCTGGAGCAGGAGGACTGTGACATAGCAAGACCCTGTCAAAAATATCCATCTTGTCTCTCTTCTCTTGTAAAAGAAAGAGAAGATCAATGGCAAAGCTGTAAAGCTTATCATAGTCAAACTTCTAAAAACTAAAGACCAAAAAAAAAAAAAAAAAAAAAAGGAAAGTAAGCCAGTGATACATTACACATTATTATAGAAAAAGATAGTAATTAGAACAATAACAGAGGTTTTATGGCACAATAAGGTTAATATAGTTAACAATGATGCACTGTGTATTTCAAAATAACTAGAAGAAAGAATTTGAATTTTCTCATCAGAAAAAAAGGTAAGAGTTTGAGGTGACAGATATGCTAAGTAGCTAATTTGATCATTATATATGCTAAGTAGCTGATTTGATCATTATGCAAGGTATACATGTATTGAAACATCATGTTGTACCCCAGAGATATGAACAATTATTATCTGCCAATTAAAAATGAAATAACACTAGACCAACCAGTGTTGAATTCTACATGGCTGACTAGTTCAAGTCCCAGACTCAACTGCTTGAAGAACACTCTGTGTATGTGTGTGCATACACCCAGTGTAGCCATCCCCCCAGGAGCTAATTTCTTACTCTCTCTCTTTTTCTCTTGCTATATCTCTGATGAGTACAAACAACCTATAGGGGGGAAAAAAAAGGAAAGAAGGAAAGGAAAAAAGAGAAAAGGACAAGAAAAAAATAGTAAAATAAAATTTCTTTTTATCTTGGGATTCAAAAACATGTTTGGTGGTTGAAACAAAAATTACTGTTGTATAGGCCTTCAATATATGTAGAGATGCTATGTAAGATAATTACTTTGTAAATGATGAAAGAGAAAGGAACATAGTAAGAACCTGGTGAAGAGGGAAAAGGAAGTAATATATCTATAATTGAATGGGTAAAGAGTTGATATAAGTAGAGTGTATTAAGTTAGGTATATATAAAGTAACATCTAAGGCAATAATTTAAAAACCTGTATGCTTAAATATACTAGATAAATCAAACTAGAAGTATATAAAAATGGTTAAATAACCCAAAAGGGCACCAAAAGAGAACATTAAAAAAAACCTAAACTGAAAATAATAAACAAAAACAAAACTTAAAATGATAGAATTAAGTCTAGCATATCAGTAATTATATTAAATGTAAATGGCCTAAATTAAAAACAAATAGGCAAGGTGGATTTATATAAAAGACCAAATTATATATTGTCTATAAGAAACTCATTTCAATATATAGGTAGATTAAAAGCAGAAGAATGAAAATTGTTTTAAAAAATCAGAAGGAAGCAGTAATGGCTCTATTACATCAGATAAACATTTTCAGAACAATGAAAATTGCCAGTGAAAGACAAGGCTATAATGATGAAAGTATCAGTTCACCAAGAACACACAGCAATTCTAAATGTGTATGCACAAGACAAAAGACATTGAAAAATGTATCAAGCAAAACTGATAGAACTGGAAAGAGAAATAGAAAATCAATAAGCAATATTGGAGACATCAACAGAACAAATAGATGGAAAATCAATATGGATTTAGAACGCAATAACACCATCATGAACAAGATCTCATTTACATTTATAGAGCATTCTACCCAATAAAAGCAAAACAATAAAAGCAAAACAGATGCTTTTCAAGTACCCATGGGTATACCAACAAAGACTATATGCTGGGCTATAAAATAAACAACAAATTTAAAAGAATATAAATCATTCATAGTGTTCTCTTCCTGCACAGAATACAACTGGAAATCAGTAACAGAAAGATAACAGAAAAATCTGCCAACATTTGAAAACTGAACACCACATTGTTAAAATGATCTGTAGGTTAAAAAAGTAAGTCTCAAGGGAAATGAAAATATTTCAGGTAAAATAAAATGGAAATACAAAATTTGTGAAACACAGCTAAAATTTTTGAGAGAGAAATTTATAACATCCATGTCACTAGAAAGGAATAGTTCAAATCAATAAGCTCTCATTTAAGAAATTACTTTTCAAAAAGTAAAATATATCAAAACAAGTAAAATGAAAAAATAATAAAGAGGAAATCAGAAATCAATGAAATTTAAAACAAAAACAATAAAGAAAATAAATGAAAGAACTGATTATCAATCAGAAAAACAATGTAATCAACAAGTCTAGTAAACTGACAAAGAACAGAGAAAAGACACAAATTACAAATAACAGGAATGAAATAGGAGATACAACTAGACACTGTAGTTATTGAAAATATAATAAAAACACACAAATAGCTCTACATGTGTTAATTGACAACTTAGATGAAATGAAACAATTTCTCTAAAAAGCTTTAACTACCTTCAAATATAAAGTAGCTAATTCAAATAGAAAATTGAATTTGTAATTTAAAACATCCTGAAAAAAGTAATCTACAGTCCCTGATGATTTCATTAACAAATTCTATGAAATATTTAAAGAATAATTAACACCAATTCCACATAATATCTTCCAGGAAATAGAAAGAGAAACATTTTTCAGTTCATTCTATAAAGCCAAATTACCCTCCTACTAAAAATCATAGATAATAGCGAACAAAGGAATTTCCTTATGAATAGAAATTTAGAAACTCTTAACAAAATATTAGGAAATAAAAATAAACTTTACAATTATAGTATATTGGGGACTGGGTGATGCTGCAGTGGAGTGGTGGCACAGCTGGACCCACATGAGAAAGGTCTTAGGTTTATATTCCAGGACCTCTCTGAGTATGCTAGGTGCATGTGTGCATGTCTGTGGTCTGGGCTGGCTAATATTGGGAGTGAATCACAGTGTTAATACCTTGTTTGGGATGCCCATCTTACTGTCCCTCTATTTCTCTTTCTCTCTCTCACGGGGAAAATATATAAACCTAAAAAAAAAAATTATCTCAGGGCCAGCAGGCGATATGATGGTGGACTCACTGAACTCCCACCTGGTTGACCATGGTATAGCAAATTAAA